AACGTGTCAAGTGGTCAAAGATCGGGACGCGGGTGTCGGATTGAAACGATCTCGAACAGCGAACGCACAATGATAAAAAGAGAACGGCTTGGACAGTCCCGGCAGTGGCAAATCACTCAGACCGCGAATTCTTACGCAATTTGGATATTTATGCAATTTTATATTTTCGAGAAGACAATTGAAAAAGAGGAAATTATTCTATCTTATTAAATCCGACTAGACGTTAAGTTAATTGCATAAATATTAAATATTCGATATTAAACGTCAAATATCCCTCGTCTTATTAATATCCACGTCGTTTTATCTCCCACGAACGCATAAAAATCCGTTGTCCTATCTTTTCATCTTGAAAAACGAATATTTTCCTTCGTCCCACTGCCAGAATGTCACAAATGAGTGAAAAATTTCCGATATACATCGAGCTTGTCGAGTTTTCGCGAGTCAATGGGCGTGCAATTGAAAAAAAAAAAAAAAAAAAAAAAAAAAAACAGATTTTACGACGACTGATTGTTTGGTTGTTCTTCAATACTTATTGTCATTATGCGATTTCTTTTAGGCTTGTCGCGCGTTTACTTGGCACTGTAACATATCGTGTACGAAGTACGAGATGCAAATGAGGAATGTATAATGCACACGTCGAATTTGTCGAGACATCGATGTATCTGTTTTTGTCATGATACTGCGAAAAATTCAATCACTCCAAAGTCAAAATGCGGCGCGCTATTGTGACCATCGTTACGTTGAAAATACGTGTGTACAATTTGTTTAACTTGTTAACTGTGTTTGACACTCGTCACGCGAAAAATGGCATTGTATGAATTGAATTTGTAACGATATTATATTTACTTGGATCAAACGATGACATATTTGGACGAAAGGTAATATAAGTTTAAAATGTTTCTGACAACAGAGAAATAAATTTAAAGTGAATTTTGTGAAGACGAACAAGTACATTGTTCGCAAGTTTAGAATATTTCAGAACATTTCCAGACTGCGATGGAATAAGAAAATTGAAATTTATTTTTCATTGGGATATTTAAAAATATTTATTTAATTGTTCACTAACAGTTAATCGATAATACTCTTTTAGCTCTAGAATAAAATATTTCGTTTTCGAGAAAAAGAACCAATTGCAGTGTGTTGTTAGAATTTTTATTCAAATCTTAAAATGCAGTATGACGAGTATATCGGTCATCCTCTAATTTTAATTATACAGTTAACAGGTTAAGCTCGATTTCTCCGCGTTTTCTTTAGATTTATTAACATGTTCCGTTTGCTTAACAGCGATACGATACTTCTAATGAGCTTCGACTGATTTACTTAATTCCTCGGCATTTTGCACAATACTCTCTCTTTTTGTTTTCTTAATTAGAAGTCTCCAAACCTTGCAGGAAGAACGTTTTCCAACTGTTTGCAAATCAATCCTCCCTTATCATCGCCGAATCTTTACATCTCGTTAATTTCAATTTCATCATTAACAAGTGATCAAAAAGAAAGAGAAATATACTATTGATAGATACTAATGAAAGCCGATGAAGATTGGAAAAAATTTGCTGATGTTATAATTTTAAATCTGCTACGATCCTCAAATTTTTACATTTCAATCTAACATTCGACAGTATGCTTATCGCAAAATATAAGAAGATATAAGAAGAAAATCGAGCACGATAATGAGAACTTTCTCAAATTTTGTTGTGCAAACCCATCAAGGATCAAGCAATGATTTATCGTTATAAATACTTTAATTTCTTGACATTTCATGAATCTAGAATAATGAAAGAATTCTTGTGAATTATAATATTATGAAAAGAAATTTATGTACTGTATATCACTATAATTGTGTGT